CACGCACCCCCATCAGTAAAAAAATTTTTGAGCACACCCCGCCAATATACGTATATTTATAGTCATGCACTCCCATCATTAAAAACTTTTTGAGCACGCACCCCCAATATATGTATATTTATATAAATATAAATAGAAGTTCTAATATTTTCTTCCCGCACCCCAGTGGATTGTCTTGCACACCCGCTGGGGTGTGTGCACCCCACTTTGGAGACCACTGGTTTAGGTAATGGCATTGGATTAGGTCAGCCATGCCTCTGTCTTGTTCCATAGGTCTGTTAAGCACAGCATTAAGATGTAGTGATAATAAGTTGTTATAATTCCATTGACTTCACTGAAATTACACCAGCTGGGGATATGGCCCAGTGTGCCAGGTAAAGCAGAAAGACAGTATGAGCCTTTTTGTAGAATATGAGGCCTCCATTACTTGACTGACCCTAAACCTTAGGGTGTTTTGGCTGAGGAGGGGTCTGTGTGAGGTCCTTTCATGGTGCTTGGATCTCTCAGTTTTTAACACTTTCATCCTCTTAGTTCTCCTGGGAGGGAGGGAAGTGCTTTTACCCCCATGTTATAACTTGGAAGCTGAGGCACAGGGCTGAGTAATTTGCCCAAGGTCACACAGTGAAGCCTGCAGCAGAGCAAGGATTTGAATCCAGATCCCATAGTCCTAAGTGAGGGCCCTCAACACAGGGCTGCCTTTATGCAGTTTCAGGTAGCACCTTTGTATGTTTGGCACTTCTGTTCAACCTCTGATTTGATCATTCACAGCCTTAGGTGTTTGCCTAACTTTATTTTTTGTGATTATAACACATCCACAGAGTTAATGTGAAGTTGGCAGTGTGTGACATGAAGCCAATAGGTAGGGCTTTGTAGAATCCTAGCCTACATTTATCGAGCCAAATTACAAGACCCAATGTCCCTGATATTCTTTTCTTCATCTGGCTTCTTTTGGGTATGATAATAATTTTCCATCTATAACATAGCACTTTCTGTCATGTCATACAGTAGCGGTAGTATAATAAACATAGTGGCATTCTTGCCTTTTCTCCTGTTCACACAGATCAGATCCAGGCTGCCTCTGAGAAACTGAATATTTTAAGATAAAGGGATTTGTTTTGGCTGAATCCATGTACCTACTTATCATTTGATTTGAATACGGACCATTGTTTCTGAAATGAGAAGTGCATTTTGGTAATGGCACAGCCATTGTGTCTTCAGTCTCTTTTTAGCTTGGGCTTTTCTGTATCTGTGCCAAGGAAAACTTACTCTTTCATGTATAAATCAAGAGGACCTGATAAAATGCACCCAAGAGAGTCCCTGGTTCAGGCCAAACTCTCAGTACAATCAATGGGAATCCAATTCATGGACGATCAGCAGTCTTGGGCACGTAACTGGGGGAAAAATCCCTCCAAACCTCCAAATATACCCACTATAAATTGCTGGGGTTAAGGTACCTAATGACGGGGGAAAAGAGAAAAGTAGTACTTGCCCTTCAGAAGGCTTGAAGCAAGTTCCTGGCAACACTCAGTCTCTTAGTTTAGGGCTTATTCTAGGAAAACATCCAGTCTAAGCAGTATATAAAGGGAGTAGATATATTACCATTTGGCAGAAAGGTGTCTAATAGCCAACAAACAACATGGGTGTATTAAAAATAGGCCAAAAAAATCTCTAATTGCCTTCCTGATTTAGGAGAATCCCAGGGAGCACTGGTATATTTGGGTTTCAGTGAGGCATTTAGTATTGCATCACATTAGAAAGTGGATAAAAATACTAACTGGATAAAAATACATCAGCCTGGAGCATAAATTCGCTGGGAACAAACAGTAATTGTTATTGGGGAGACCTCTGGGGGCACAGTGGGGTGCCATAGGGACTGAGTTATTTTATCGCTTGGAGAACAGAGAAGTTCCCTATCGCCTGAAGACTAGCTCATTCCCTTAGTGACTTGAGGACATTGTACCAGGCAAAGAAGAGGGCATGTGCGCCTTGGAGAAGTAGGTTAAGATGCCTGTCTACTTTGAGTCCTGACTGACTCCGCCTTCTCCTGGTCTGGTTGTGGTAAGCCATGCCCCTCTCTACAAGGCCTACCCCTTGTATCATCTCCAGGGAGGAGCAGAAGGTGAGCTGCTCTGATCAGGAGCTGCGGAGACTAGGGAGAAGGGCTTCCTGGCAAGGACCACAGGGTGACTGGCAGATGACAGCAGGTGGGTAGGACACAGGGGGTGTAGGCACTCAGTGGAGCAGACTTCATTTAGCAACCTTCATGGGGGCTGTGGGGGGGATTGCTTTGAGAGAGGAGAGGGAAAGGGACAGAACACCAGGAAAGAGCAATGCACTTTAGGGGGGCATGATTGCCCACGGTAGTCAAGAAGAGTTGACTCATCTCCCATGCAGTTAGTTGAAGGCAAGTGATCTCCTGTTTGTGGCCTCCTAAGTTCACTGATGATCACGGGGAATGTGTTCATGTAACCATTTGCTCACAACAAGAAAATCAAGAAAGACAGAGCCAGTTTTAACAGCTTGGACAGCAGTGGAGAGAAAATCAAAAACAGAGATGGGCAGTAGTCAGGGAGCAGCTCTCTGGAGAAGAATGAGTCCAAGAAAGTCTTGAGGGCTAGAGTAAATAACCAGCTAAATATGAGTTCACAGTTTGACACAGCCAAAAATAAAAGCCAGGGCTATTCTGGGTGCCTTATAATGGGATACCCATGTGAAATTAGGTCAGAAATGGCTCCACAAACTCCATGGAACCTGGAGAGACCCCCTTGAATATTTTGTTCAGAGTTGGCCTAGACAGGTTGGGAAAGGTATAGTAAACTAGAAGGAATACTAAGAATGTCAGGAAGTAAAGTACAAGGACTGGAAGTTGATATTTGAAGGCAGTCTAAGCTTGCTAAATTTATATCTAGAAAAGAGAAGGGTTAGGAGGGACACATCACAGTTTATAAATATAATCAAGTCATGATGCAAATAAAGGGAGAGAACTATTCAGCTGTGGAGCATGTCAATGCAAGTAGCAATGGCCACAAGCTAAAGAAGCCAAAGTTGAGCCAAAATAGTGAGTATGGAATGCCCTACCTATGAGGACACTCTCACTACTGCTATTTATATACCTTGCAGGCCTGCTCTTATGGTCAAGGAAATTATGTACCAAGTAACTGTGGCAAATGCAGTTCAAGCATTTAGTGCTTTTGAAAACCTGGCCGTATATTTGGATGCCTGAGGAAAGCTTCAGAAGCCTGCATGAGTTTTGCAAATCATAATCAAGATGATCAGCTCAATGTTGAAAGTGCTCTTTCCTTGTGTTCAATTGTTTTATGGTAATTGCAGAGTAAAATTATTTTATGTAATGCATAGAATTTGCACTCAGCTGAAATACAATGCATTATGTTTGGTGGAATAAGAAGCCCCTAAAAGATCATATATCCTCTCATTGAGTACATATGCCCATGGAATTGCTTTAAAACAGTAGACAAACACATCTGCCACTGAGAGCCACGCACAAAGAAAGAGTATATTAGGAAACCTATTTAGATTATAAAATTGCTTAGAGTAGCCTATGTCTTTGATGGCATGTTTCTCATTTTTCCTAGATGCAGACTAAAATAGTATCTCAGCACAGTGAGATAACCAGGGAACCTGATTTTTAAAAAAAATTCAAATTTTTGGTTAAAAAAAAGCAACCTCAAATCCACATTTTTTCCACAATTAAAAAGAAACACCACTATATATGTATCTATATATATCTATATCTATATATCTATATCTATATCTATCTATCTAGATAGATATAGATATAGATATATAGATATTATATAGATATTATATAGCTATATATATTCTATATAATAGATCTAGATATATATATATAGTGGTGTTTCATTTAAATTACAAAAAAAATGTGGGTTTGAGGTTACTTTTTTAAACCGAAAATTGGGGATTTTTTTTTTTAATCAGAGAAAACCAGGATCCTTGGTGATAACTGTTTGGCTGTTTTTATATTGGTTTCTTTTACCCTCAGTTGCTCAAAATTTCGGAATGCCACAAAAAGAAATTCCCAAACCAAACAAATTTGCATGGCCATTTCAGTCAAAAAAGTAGACGGCGTTTCAGCGGTGGCTGTTTTCCAGCCCATGGTTACCCACTACATTGTCAGATGCCGTTCTGTAGTGCTCATGATCAGAAGGGTTGAGACCAAAGGTTCATCTGAACCTAGATGGCTCTGGGTCTAGCGAGATTAAGGCACACCAGTTTCTGTAGCCAGCAATCCCTAAAAGGACTTGCATGTCTAGTATAATGCCTGGTTACCTTTGACTCCTTTTTCTAAATATCTAAGTGGCTACTGGTAACCAGGTTGACTGGAGGTAGCCATGAGCGTGTGTCTAGGGAAAGGCTTGAACATGTGCCTGTGCAGTGTCTTAGGACTTCAGCTCCTTAGAACAGGAGGTAATTGCAGCTTTTCAGCTGCTTCCCTGAAGTAATGGGGTAGGTGTCAGCAACTTAGCCTGTGTGTAGCAGGTCAGTTTTCTGTTTAATCTATCTATCAAAGCCCTGGCAAGGTTCCTGTTTGGCTGTATCACTGTACTATCTGCCGGGGTGGCATTACGGTTGTTGGGGCCCTGGGCAAGAGAATCGTTTGGGGCCTCTTAAAGGCTTAATTTTGATGACCTATAACATTTTTTATTTTGATTTCACTTTGCCCTATCCAGGAAACTTTTTCATAAGTTGAAGAAAGAACGTTTTTAATAACTTCACCCCAAAGAAAAATTGTTGCAACATTTTGGAGCCCCCTAAAGTGTGCAGTCGCACGGTTTGCCCTCCCCTAAGGCCTCCTACCTGTGCACCTACATTAATGTAGCGGTTTTCATAAGAGGGGAAACATTGCTGTTGAAGGGCCATAGAGTTATGTTGGTGCAAGTGAGGCCAGGATTTGGCACTTGTCACCATGATATAAATTAATGTTCACTCAGGCCAATGTTATGAGACTTGGGTCTTCAGCAGTACCACTGAAAAATGTGAGAGCATCTGCACAGTTCTTTTCCTGGGTCAAACCTGTGCTTGCACATTTAAACCAGTTCCTTCTCCATGCCCAGAGTCACTTACAGGAGCAGGTCCCCATCTGCAATGTCCACTCTCTTTTTCAAGCAGAAAAATAGAGTTCTGAAGGTGCAACGCTGTGTGTGCATAGATCACACTCACATTTGGGAGTAGTTTTGAGCACATCTGTCTGTATTTATGGTGAGGGATTTATAACATCAATTCAGATGAGGAAGGTATAAATGTCTTACCTACATGGCCCCTGTCAAGTATAATTTTCACCTGCTTGTAGCTTTTCTTGTTACCATCAATTTGTGCGTAGCTGCACAACTGGTAGGTGCATTAAGGAAGCACTTCTGAATGTCTCTCTGAAACAGCTTGTGTTGGTTTCTGCTGGAGGCAAGATAACAAACTTGATGGATGAATGCTCTGATCCAGTACAGCAGCTCTTGTGTTCCAGGGCTTCGTAGCAAACGGTTACCTCTCACTGTAGTGCGTCCCTCCAGCTAAAGTTGTCCTCTTGCAATATTTTATTTGCCAAGACTGCTCCTATTCTGATTCCCAGCTCGCACTCCTCAAACGTTGGAGGAGTGGCCCTCATTATGAGTCAGCTGATATGTTCATTTGTACAAGCAGCCGGAGTACCAGAGCTAGATAAAGAGTCCGCAACCTTTAACCAGAAGATGGCACAATGAAACCATTATATGAGTGTTGCTATTATTTGCAAATATTTTACAGGCGGCACATTAAACACAACAGAATCAATACAAGAGAAGATGTGTTTGCACTTGCTAACAACAGTGTTAAATACCAGCTATTTTTAAAAACCCTAAAGGATATATTTGGACTTTTAAAGGACTTGTGAATGTGCGGAAGCTTTAGTAGTGTGTGGGTGTGTGTGTACATGGATGTGTGCCTCATTTTCTGTGTTTGTGCCTTATTTTTCTGTGCGCTTGGACCTGCATGTAAATTTTAAGTCCTTGTGGATTTGTCAACCCATCTACCTCCCTCTCTCTCTCTCTTTCTCTATATGTGCACATCCTTGGATGACTTTCTTGCTATTACACCCTCCTGCAAGAGGACTGAATTTGGCAAGCATATTTGAGGTTTAGAAGCACACCTCCTTAACTGTCTCCCACACTAGAAGAAAATATCTAGCCCTAGAACAGATGCATGATAGGCCCCTGGAATGAATGTATCAGGGACCCTGAGCCATCATCACCTGCTCACAATCACATTCCCCCCCTCTTCCCACTTATGCGTTGCACACCTGTGGCTTGCTGGCAGCATGTTACTCTAGCCTAAGTCCCAGGTGTATAGCTAGTTTACTTTCTTGTTTCTTCCTGTGGGCATGTGGGAGTTTCTGCCTGTGTTTGTATGACTTCTGTGGACTCTTGAATCACAGTAATAAAAACTATCCTCATTTCTTCATTGAAACTCCACAGAAGCCAGTGAATCAGGCCCAAGTATCCTGAATGCCTTGTAAATAACTGTCTCTGCATATGACCCTCATCTGGGCACATTTACCTTGTAACACTCTCATCAAGTAGAGAACTACCACCTCAGTTTGGCAGCTGTGGAGCTGGCCACAGGACAGGTTACATGGCTTGCCCAGGGTTGTGCAGAAACTGAATCCAAGTCTTTGGCATCCCCATTATGGGCTGTAATCCCTAGACTGCATGTCCTGTTCCATGAGTAGCCTAGGTTAGGGTCATATGTTGGTGTGTAGCTTGGGTGGTGAATGAAGTTATTCTTTTTATGCCTCTTCCCAACTTTTGTACCGCTTAAATTGTTTCTGCTTGTAAAACCTTTTGAAAAGCTTGAATAAAGGGGACTAGAGGAGTGTGAAGTATCGTGATGCTCATGGTGGTGATTGCTTATTTTAGATATTGGGCCAAGTAAATACTCTTAAATCCTCGGAGAAATAACCTAAGCAACAGTGCTGAGAGGTGATGGTACAGCTGCCCCAAATGAGAGCAGGAACAGAGGTTCAGTGAATAATTCCCTCCATCCTTTGCCTTGATGCAAATTTTAGAGAGTGCCTCAAAAGAGTTTTGAGTTTCAGAGAACAGAATTGGCTTTGAAAGGTCTTTTGGTAAGTGACCATCTCTGATTTCCTTTATCATGGTAAACTCAAACCTCAAGCAGTTTCTATCTATCTGTCTATCTAGGAAGATTCAAGTACAAACAAGTGGAGGGGAGAAAGCACTAGAGACAATTAATTGTTCGTATTGTATCCTGTTTCCGTGTCATTAAAATGATTTTCCTTTGATTGCTCGTCAGTGAATGTGATGGCATCTGTATTAAACGATCTTTCCATAAACCAAAACCATTAGTACTGCTTTAGGTTTCAGGGCACAATACCACCTATTTATGGACTTACAAGTCTGTAATAGCTTGATAGGTATTTGCTATTTAATTGCATGCTAAGTACCATATAGCAAAACTGTAATAGCATGGTACCTTGAAGCAATGAGAGGTACGGATGGTTATTTTTGTCTTCTGATTCAACATTATCACGACTGCTTAAAATAAAAAAATAAAGTGTAGAGGCATGCAGGGACATGTGTTAAGACTTTTCCAAGTCAAACCTATGCAATTAGCCCCATTATTTATTATGTAAATGCAACATATCCTTGGCAAACCACAAATTATGGGACAGTTACATTGTAAAAGGGAGACGCAGATAAGGCAGGATGTACAGAGTAACCCAAAAGAAGGTTTTAATATGAAAATATATTTGTCTCTCCCCCTCTCATCCCAAATTGAGGTGGAGAAGCTATTGGATCAGCAGAGGTGTAGCAGGTTCAAGCCCCAGGGGTGGCTGTGATGCCCCCTGGTGGCCTCATGACTGCTGCCCTGCTTTGGCTCTCCAGATACCCTCCCTTTTTGCTCTCTCGCCTGCCAAGCCTTGCTGCTATTATTTATTGGGATAAAGGGAGGCTGCCTAGGGTCCCAGAGTGAGCCCTTGTCTAAACTCAGTCTGTGGGGTCCTCCCAAATCCTTCTGATCCCTGTCCTGACCTCAGGCATCCATGCTCTTGCACACTAATTGTCTTAAGGGCTAATTTTGTGGCCTCCAACCTCCTCTGTAGCCATGCCCATGCATCACAGATATCCAATACCCCTATCCAATACTAGGCCTCCTCCAGCCTCTGTGCCCTTGTTGGGGCCTCGGCCTTCTGAGCTTTTATCCCTTTCCTCTTGCTGGTCCCCTTAGCCTAGGTCCACTGTGCTGGACCTGGCTTCTGGGCCTCAGCCCTAGTCTAGTCCTCTTGGACTCTGGTTTTTACCCTCTCAGACTTCTCACCCTTCTTGGACTTCAGACCCCTGGCCCGGGTTCAAAACAGCCATGTTCCCCGCAGGCACCACTGCGACCTCCTCCTCCCCAATAGTCATAATCCTGTCTACCAGCAAATGAGAACAAAAAAATATGAGCTCCAGGCTGTAACTAAAACTCCAAGTCCACTGGCTATATAACAAAACTCTCTTCATCCTGGGTCTTAGTTCCCTGCAAGCCCTCAGCAACTTATTTGCAGTCCCCAGGTATAGCAGGATCTCAGTCATCTGCTCAGCTACAGCCAGCCTGCTGCACAGCTCTTCCCCCTGCAGCCTTCAGGGCCAGACTGGCTGCTTGGTCTCAGGCACTAACTTTATGTGTCTCCTAAGTCTGGGACTCCCCACCTGGGACTGATTTTCAGTCTGCTTTCCTTGCTAGGACTTAGCTCAGCTGCCCACAGCTCTTTGCTTCTGGGCTGCTTAGACAGCTGCCCTGGTGCAGCTTACTGCTCTGCCCCTATTTTCTGGGAGAGTTACTCCCTTCCACTCCCCAGGGTCAGCCTGTGCCTGTGTGGCTGCAAGTTTGTCTGTTCATTTGCAGTCAGCCTGTTTTCTAGCTGCCAGCCCTCCTTGAGCCAGCTCAGCTTGCTACTGCTCCTCTTAAAGTAGCAGGAGCCCTCTGGCTCCCTGTTACAAGAGGCCAGATGTTGGCTTCAGGGCAGAAGTGTCTTGAGGTGGGATCTTGGTGTACTGAAACTGGGATAGTATGGATCAGGGCACAAAGACAGGAGTGCGAGAAGAAAATGAAAGGCAGTGAGGTTGGCATCATTGACAGACCAAAGGGGACAAAGAGCAGCAGGAGAAGGATGAGGCGTATGTGAAGTGGACGGCTCTGTTCATATCATGGGGTAGGCCTAGGAAAGGACATGTACATCTGCTCCAAATTTCCATATGCAACAGGATTTTCCTAGCCGGAGAATGGTTAAAGAAAGTGCTAAACTCAGGTGCAACCAACTCAGGCCCTCTCCTGCACACCACTGCTGCCAGGAACCCTGTAACTTAGGGTCTTCAGCACAAAAACCCACCTACAATATGGCACTAGAAGAGAAAGAGAGACAGGGGCCACACTAATGTTACTTACCAATGACAGTTTGGTTCACTGTGGGGAGGGAGGGTCTTGAAGATGGACATAATTTTAGGTCAATTTTAGAGGGTCGCCTAGGCTAGAGCTACACCTGAATCAAAGCCTGGGATTTAAGGCTTGGCACAGACTTTCCAAAAGCCCAAGGCAGAACTGATCCAAGTTACACTGTTTCCTGGAAGTGGTACAGTTTAGATGGGTAGCGAACAGAACTCGTCTGCGCCATGGTGGCGGGGGCAAATCTTAGACCTGGTTCTGCTATTTTTAAACCAGTTGATGTGTGCCGGATTTTGGTTCTGTTATGGGTATAGACTGGTTTTGTGTGTTGAAGTTCTTTTCTGTTATGGATATAGGCCATTTTCCAGTCACTTATCCCAGTAAAAGTGTAATGTCTGTACCTGGCCTATGTTCCCACAAGCAGTAGGCAGAAAAAGGCTCTGAACTTCATTACTGGCTCTCTCTCTCAGGCTAAACCCTTATGTTAGGTCCAGACTCTCCTCAGGTTAAAAAAGTTTGGCTCCAGAACCAAATTCTGTGGCTTAGGCTTATCTCTGCTCAGAACTGCTGTCGCTGTTAGGCTAAGCTTTCAAAGGTTGCCTGTCCCTACTACGGACTCTCCCCTGGTTATGGATGGTGTCGTCATTCGCTTGTTCTACATGGCCTGAATTGTTAAGAAGCATTTTAACACCATGTGTCCTGCATTCTGCTGCTGGCATCCAGGGCTTCACGCAGGCATTTTCACTTTCATCTCAGAAGAGCAGTGGCATTATGCACTATAAATCAAGAGCCTGTGCACAATTGACATTTGAACTGGACTGGTGGAGAGAGACAGAGAAAGAGAGAGAGAGTGACATCTGGCATAAGTATTCTTTATGCCAAGGCTTTGGTATGCCCTTGGTAGGAAGCCCTCTCCTCTGAATGCCATTCAGCTATGTTGATGTGGGAGTGTTGGGTCTCTCCCCAGTAATAATGTGCTGCCCAAAGGCAAAGCACAAATGGAAAGTGAAGCCTCTTTGTTTTCATCTGACCGAAATGTTCTCTTTATTTTTAATGAGAAATGACAATACCGAAGGACCGTGATGTGGTGATTAGTAAAAAGAACTGTGAGTCCTGACTCCCAGGTTTCTATAGCTGCCTCTGGCTGAATCACTGTTGTTGTT